CCCCAAAACCCCAAAACCCCAAAACCCCAAAACCCCATTTTACCCATAAATATTTGAAAGTAATTTAGAATATATTAATTTAAGAGGGTTAAAGATGAAGAATCGAATGGGAAGAGAAATAGCAAATATCTCAAATAATCATAGGAGAAGGAACTTTGAAATAGAGGATTTGTCCAAACCTTCAGATAAAGTTAAAGTTGAGGGACTGAGTAGAGCCAGGAATATGATTAATGGCCAGGTTGGGAAAAAGACAGAAGCTGCATATGTAAGTACTTTAATGATTGTTGGGAGCCCAACTTATTTCAATTTAGGCAAGCTCGTGAACTTTAAAGGCAAATAAAAACACAGAATATATTCGATATACTCCTGATCAAAGTGGAGAAGCTTTTAACTCTGGAGCTCAACAGCGTATTGTCAAAATGGTAACTCAGCAGGAAGATCCTTTACTTCCTCCAAAGTTCAAGCATAAAAGAGCTCCAAGAGGTGCTCCTTCACCTCCTGAGACAGTAATGAGGAGTCCCAGTAGGAAGATCACTGCAAAGGATCAAGCTGATTGGAACATCCCTTCATGTATTTCTCAATGGAAGAACGCAAAGGGTTATACTATCCCTCTGCATATGAGAATCCAGTCAGATGGTAGGAATCTCCAAGACACCACTATCAATCACAAGCATGCTAAATTTAGTGAATCTATCTTACTCGCAGAGATTCAGAGTAGGAAAGAAGTAGAGGAAAGGAACAAGATCAAGCAGAGCCATCACCTCATGATGGAGATCAGGAAAGAAAAGCAGATACAGAAGGACGCCACGCTTGCAAGAGCCGAGAAGGAGAAGCTCATCCAATCATCAATCTCCCAACTCCGTTCAGAGAGGAGGGATAACCATGAAGGTGTCGAGTCCAGGAAGAGAACTCGAGAAGAAATCGAGAGGGAAGAAGCAAAAAGAGAAAGAGACGCATTGAAAAGACAGATTAAGAGAGATGTAGTAAGACAAAGAAGGCTTGAAGTCGCTGGAAAACAAGATAAAGCTAACCCTAGGGACGGAGAAAGAGACATTAGTGAGAAAATTGCTCTCGGACAAGCACAACCAACTTCTAAAGATGCTATGTTTGACCAAAGGCTCTTTAATCAGCAGAGTGGTATGGAGCAAGGATTTGGAGATGATGATGAGTATAACTTGTATGACAAGCCTCTTTTTGCAGATAGAACGGCTACAAGTATTTACAAAAGTACTAAAGAAGTGAATGAAGAAGAAGACCTTGAAGATACCGATAAAAATAGAGTTGCTAAAGTATTAAAAACAACAAATAAGCCAAACAGAGGATTTGAAGGAGCTGATTATACCAAAGGTCCAAGATGTGCTCCAGTCGAATTTGAACAGAAGAATGACTCCACAGATGTCAATACAATGAAAGCAGGTCTTCAAACTTCACATAAGAGAAGAAAATATGATGAATAATTATTCACCTATATTTCCAATATTTAGTCGAAAAATTGGGGTTTTGGGGTTTTGGGGTTTTGGGGTTTTGGGGTTTTGGGGTTTTGGG